TAGTCTTGAGAAACACATAGGCATCTTAAAGTTATGCCCCGCGCAGTGGTGAAGTAGTATTTTATTTACTTTATCCTGGTAGTTATGGTTTAAGTGTTATTTTTAGAATCATTTAAAGTATACTAACATACTTTTTGTACTAGATATGAAAAATTTGTTAAAAAATAGCCAATAAATTGTAACACGATGTTAGGCTTAATATTTTCTTAATTTGGAAAGTTCTTTTACATTTTTTTCAACGTTTTGCACTATGTTATATAATTTTAAGCCACTCCAAATGTAACACTGAAATAATCCAAAACCATTTTATACAAAAAGTATAGTCTTAGTAAGCAAAAGAGCCGTAATAACGTTAAACTAATAATTATTGAAAATAATTTATCTTACAGCTGAGGAAAAATTGTTGCTAAAAACCTTTCAAAATATTAATTGTTTACCTTTGGACATGTTTTTCATACAGCAGTTGTAGTAAATTTAAGAGTCTGCGCCAACATTGTATACCTCAACGTATTTTACCTATCTCGACTTTTTTAGTCAAACACAGTAGTGTGTTATACTTATAGCTCACCTGGTAGAAAAGGTTTTTACAAAATGTGTTCTGATTTGTTATTGTATTTAAAAACGTGTCATATTTTGCATACAGAAATTTTTATTATTTAAACTCTTTGATTTAAAAAATAAACTGAGACTAAATAATCACAAAAGAACGAAATATACTTTTTAACCTTTACCTGTTCAGATCCTGTACGACACCGCAGGAATGTAATAAACATACTCTAAATTTCCTAAAGGTAAAGTTTAAAGATATTGTAGAATGAAAAGTAATCGAACGGCAATATCACATTGGTGCGAGATGCGGATAAGGTCTGTATTGTGTGCAATCCCGGGTGTCCAATACACTGAGAAATCTCACCCCTAAACCGGTGGGGGGGGGGGGGGTGGCTCGATAGGGGTGAAATGACCATTTTGGTTTACACAATCATATGAAATCTTATTTTGTTTACAAGAAGGTCAGCAATTGAATTTTGTTTTTAAAATGTTGACTTCCTTATTCAAATTAAATAAGGTAATTTTTGTAATGTACGAAACCGCTTTAGGGAATAATACGGGTTTTTGGGTTTTAAAACTGAATCTGTGAATTATATCTTCATTTCTCAGTGAATGAGATTGCAAAAACGTGTCTTAGAAAGCGGAAAGATATTCTATTAAAACCGCGAGAATATATATGTGAAATACCATAGGAAGTTGTATGAGTAGCTAAAAAGCTAAAATATTTGGTGCTTCGGTCAACGATGACCATGTAAATTAATGAGTGCATGGTATCAAAATATCACCAAATCGGGGATAGAAACTGCGTTACCAAAACAAAGTTCAAGACCAAAGAGGCAAACATGATAATTGCGCCAAATGTGTCAGATACAATAATTGTCAGATTTGCCTCAACCTTAAAGAATCGGATTGATTGAATATAGGAGACATGGTCAGAAACCTTATTTCTAAATGTTTTCCAACGTTCTTTGTATTATAAAAAATGTTGACATTCAACAGGTCACAAAACAAAACAGTTTTACATTATTTGTTATGCAAATGTAAAGATTTACTTTGATTAAGTAAAAACTACGTTAGTGAAGTTTGAGTACGTCAATGTTAACTAAAATATACTGTGTTGTCTCTAAGATGAATTTTACCATGTGCAGCTCCCCCTCTGGTTGTAATAACAAACAATGTTTAATACTTCATAAACAGAGTGTATTACCTGGTTGAACTACTTTAAAGGTTAATGAAACAAAAATGATTTTGGTCTACACCCCAAGCAATATGGTAGTGCCCCTAAACACATGAATTTTACCTGGCGTTTAATGGCACTACCATATTGTTAGGGACAATTTACCCAAACATAAATGAGAAATATTCATAAACATAAAAGAACATTCTAAACTCACCAGACAAAAACCATAACCATACTTTCAGCAAATCCATAAGGACATAGAAGTAATCAGGTATATTTGATCCTTAACTGGTCATAAAATTTTTTCGTTTTGTTACCAGTCCTATGCGAAAATCTTTAATTTGCGTAAAAAAGTAATATTTATTGATGTTTGCCATTTCAACAGCAGGTAAATAGTACAAAAGTCGTAGGAAGTATAACAATAAAACCCTGCTAGCTTTATGTTCCATTGGTCTCTAAAGCCCTCACTTCGACGCTACAAACACCTGTTACCAGTAGAGCAGGATTTAGTTATAATATCTGGTTGTTTATTTTTATTTTATCTTTTACTGTTGATTCTAACTTTTTCTAGGGATTTGTAAAAATCATTAGTGTAGCCAAAATAATGTTTAATTGAGTACGATTCTAATTTCCATGTAAAATAAATATTAAAACTATCCTAAAATTATGTTTAGTTTCTTGTAGGTAGGAAAAGTAAGCATGTTCATAATCAGTGTGTCTTAAACAAATGAACTACAATGATTTATTTATTCCCCATAATAATGACACGGAAATTTCAAATCTACGGTTTTTTAACTTTCTGATTAACCATTAAGCAACGACATTAAGCATGTTCTTGTAGTGTTCAAGTCTGTCTGTATTTTGTGCTTAGCTTTATTGTAAAAATCTTTGTTTTGCTTACCAAATATTTCTGTATATTAATTCTCAAAATATTATGTAAAATGGTGCATGCAGTATGAAGAATAAATAAATAAAAAAAATAGGCTTGTAATAACTCTTCAATATAATAAATTATTTTTCATTGCAAAACTTTATATTTAGGGTTTAAAAAAATGGGAAAATCCAAGTTTTTCACCATAAGACTCCCCATAAACACCGTTCTTATCATGACGGTCCCCGAACTCATTGGAATAAAATATGTAGGTTTACACGGTAGTACCGTAATATATGATATCATTTTCAATTACCTATATTATATATTTGAATTTAAACGGATGGTGCTTTTAAAGGTACCTCAAAACGAAAAAGGTAAATTGGTTCCGGGTCCCGGTCCGTAATGGCTTATTCCCTATATGGGATATTTGCTAAAAGGTAGACTATAAAAATGTGTTTATTTATTCATCAGCAATAACACTACAAGTAGTTTATAATAATAATTATCAAAAATAAAAAGATGAATGACTAACTGTAACCTATGGAAGTTAAATTTATAAATTAAAATTTAGTGAATATTGAAGAATGAGATGAATAAGTACTCTTGAATGTATTATTGAATGTATAGAATGTATTAGGGATCAGATGTACAAAGTTGAACTCATTTTAATTGTAATTTCAATTGATCTTATTGATGTATGAACTTATGTGATAGAAGAAACATTTGTGCAACAAACCCAACTATTATTTTTTTTTTTTACAATAAAAATCCACCCTCTCATGTCATACAATTTTCATTTATAAGCTTTCAACGAAATGCACCAACTAGTATGAGGATATGGTTACACTACTTCATCATTATTTACAATACAAGTACATACTTTACGAAATGTATCATTAAAATAAGTTAGGCCTACACATATAAAACGAAACAACTGCAAAAATGCATTCAAGTTTAACAAAGCTGAAGAGGAAAAATATAGCTCCTGTCCCTAGGTTCTACCTTAACTAAGTCACGTTCGATAATGGTGGTGTTCTCTAAGGAGCTGGTCTGGTAGTTAGAGTATAGGACTCTCTTAGGGACTCGGATCCAAACCCTAAGCACCAAAGGCAATTTGCTATATACTAATGCTCTGACCAAGTAGGCTTAGAACCTAATGACACTGTAGTTTCATTAATAATTTAAAATATAAATAAAGAAAATTGTTCCTGTGTTACAAAAATGCGAAGTCGTACATGTACTGCAGTTTAAATTCCACCAAACACTATCACAGCTACTTTAACGTATGAATGCAGTGTGGGTGTAGAACGAATTATCTGTGAACCTTCTTTCCTGACTAAGATCGGCTGTTTCTGTTGCCAGGACCACCTATCGATGTATAAAACTAACTTTGTTAGTTTTTTTTTATACATCGATGGTGTATAAAACCTATGTGTACCTTTTAGCGAATTTTCCAAATAGGGAATAAGCTATTACCGTAGTACTCATGGTAAGACCTGGACCCGGGACCGATTTACTTTTTCGTTTTGAGGTCCCTAGAGGCCAAAAACACCATCCGTTCAAATTCATATATATATATATGTTTTATATATATATATATTTATATATATTTATATATTTATATATATATTTATATATATATATTTATATATATATATATATATATATTTATATATGTGTCCGTTAGCGCGATAACTCGAGCAAAACTCATCCGATTTTGATTAAATTTAGTACAAACATGTAAACCCACGTTTATTCGAACGAGTTCGCGAACCAGCATGATCGGACTATGGGAACAGGTGTTTATTGGGGGTTTTATGGGGTAAAAATTGGTTTTTCCCATTTTTAACCCAAAAAACTTAAAATTTAACATTTTCTTTCCAAACCATTTTGTAGAGCTTAAAAAAACAAATAATTTAGTATATTGAAGCGTTATTATGCGCCTAATGGTTACGGAGAAAATTCCAAAAAACTGTAAATTTAAAATTCCTATGTTATTCTTATGGAGAATAAGTAAACTGTTGTAGTTTGCTTGTTTATGAACATATTTTGATCAAATTTGGAAAATGCATTCATTTCACTCTAAACTATTAACATTTTACAAAAAAAAAAACATTTTTACCCTCCCTGTTGCAGCAAACCTAAGTACTCGTTAAATTAATGTTATTTAAATAATGAATAAATGTGATATTTTTAAGGAGACATTTTTGTGTAAATCCAATCAAGCAAATGGAAATTTGCTTAGTCTGCAGGTTTGCTGTGGCGGGGGTATTGATACTCCAATGATCTGTGTCTATTTTCAAACCGTCAAAAACACTAATGACTTCACCATTCGATATTTCTGAGTAATCACACGTTTCTTATGATAAGGGACTAAGAAAATGTAACTTGTTGTAGATATTTGGGGTTCTTGCTACGTAGAACGGGGATGTGGAGAAGGCCAGAGAGAGAGAAAAGTCTGGTGTCAAGACATTCACAACAACAGAGCTGTGTCACTGTACCACTGCAAGCCTAGAGATGAGCCTTCCAGGACTAAACCGTGCTTTGTGGCCTGTAGACATCACAAAGGTAAGGGAACATCAATGTGTGCTACCTATATAGTGTATACAGTAGTGAGGTTGATAAGAGATGAAGTGTCAAGACATTCACAACAACAGAGCTGTATCACTGTACCACTGCAAGCCTAGAGATGAGCCTTCCAGGACTAAACCGTGCTTTGTGGCCTGTAGACATCACAAAGGTAAGGGAACATCAATGTGTGCTACCTATATAGTGTATACAGTAGTGAGGTTGATAAAAGATTAAGTGTCAAGACATTCACAACAACAGAGCTGTGTCACTGAACCACTGCAAGCCTAGAGATGAGCCTTCCAGGACTAAACCGTGCTTTGTGGCCTGTAGACATCACAAGGTAAGGGAACATCAATGTGTGCTACCTATATAGTGTATACACTAGTGAGTTTGATCAAAGATTAAGTGTCAAGACATTCACAACAACAGAGCTGTGTCACTGTACCACTGCAAGCCTAGAGATGAGCCTTCCAGGACTAAACCGTGCTTTGTGGCCTGTAGACATCACAAGGTAAGGGAACATCAATGTGTGCTACCTATATAGTGTATACAGTAGTGAGTTTGGTGTCAAGACATTCACAACAACAGAGCTGTGTCACTGTACCACTGCAAGCCTAGAGACGAGCCTTCCAGGACTAAACCGTGCTTTGTGGCCTGTAGACATCACAAAGGTAAGGGAACATCAATGTGTGCTACCTATATAGTGTATACAGTAGTGAGGTTGATAAGAGATGAAGTGTCAAGACATTCACAACAGAGCTGTGTCACTGTACCACTGCAAGCCTAGAGACGATCCTTCCAGGGCTAAACCATGCTTTGTGGCCTGTAGACATCACAAAGGTAAGGGAACATCAATGTGTGCTACCTATAGAGTGTATACAGTAGTGAGGTTGATAAGAGATTAAGTGTCAAGACATTCACAACAGAGCTGTGTCACTGTACCACTGCAAGCCTAGTGACGAGCCTTCCAGGACTAAACCGTGCTTTGTGGCCTGTAGACATCACAAAGGTAAGGGAACATCAATGTGTGCTACCTATATAGTGTATACAGTAGTGAGGTTGATAAGAGATGAAGTGTCAAGACATTCACAACAACAGAGCTGTGTCACTGTACCACTGCAAGCCTAGAGACGAGCCTTCCAGGACTAAACCGTGCTTTGTGGCCTGTAGACATCACAAAGGTAAGGGAACATCAATGTGTGCTACCTATATAGTGTATACAGTAGTGAGGTTGATAAGAGATGAAGTGTCAAGACATTCACAACAACAGAGCTGTGTCACTGTACCACTGCAAGCCTAGAGACGAGCCTTCCAGGACTAAACCGTGCTTTGTGGCCTGAAGACATCACAAAGGTAAGGGAACATCAATGTGTGCTACCTATATAGTGTATACAGTAGTGAGGTTGATAAGAGATTAAGTGTCAAGACATTCACAACAACAGAGCTATGTCACTGTACCACTGCAAGCCTAGAGATGAGCCTTCCAGGACTAAACCGTGCTTTGTGGCCTGTAGACATCACAAAGGTAAGGGAACATCAATGTGTGCTACCTATATAGTGTATACAGTAGTGAGGTTGATAAGAGATTAAGTGTCAAGACATTCACAACAACAGAGCTATGTCACTGTACCACTGCAAGCCTAGAGATGAGCCTTCCAGGACTAAACCGTGCTTTGTGGCCTGTAGACATCACAAAGGTAAGGGAACATCAATGTGTGCTACCTATATAGTGTATACAGTAGTGAGGTTGATAAGAGATTAAGTGTCAAGACATTCACAACAACAGAGCTGTGTCACTGTACCACTGCAAGCCTAGAGATGAGCCTTCCAGGACTAAACCGTGCTTTGTGGCCTGTAGACATCACAAAGGTAAGGGAACATCATCTTTGAAAATTTCATGAATTAAGGTATGAGTATAAGAGACTATGTACCAAAATGTCTACTGCCTACACTAGCCTAGCTACTGTCATTAAATTTTCAGGTGTTTTCATTATGAAAATATTATTGTCCCTGCAAATGTCTATAATTTGTAATCAATTGCGAATACATAGAAGTAGCATAATCTAAATTACAAGTTAGATAATCTCTGGCTGGAACTTCACAAAAGTTAGCTACCGGTTTTTCAATTTACGAAGCAAGTCCTTAAGATTTAACTGTTTTAATAATACATGAACATATCGATAGAATCATTTGAGGGGGTTATGAAAACACATCATTGAGATTGTAATATGATACTTTTACATTTTTACGCCGTCTAAAGTACTGTAAGTTAAAAAGTATGTCCCCTACACAAAACTAAAATGTTTGTAATAAACACTCTACTTTAATCATAGCTTAGATGTACATAATATCTTTATTAGTTAAGTTTTATTTGTATATCAATTTCAACATTTGTAATAGAGCTCGTCCCGCGCCCAGCTCTTGCGCAGCCTATATATTTGTTTGCAGTGATAATCTCAGACACCAGATATACATGTAGAATTTTATAACAAGAATTCTCATTACTAAAAGACTTATAAAGTTTGTAAACACACATCTGTAACAACATATTCAAGCTTATTACTAAATGCTCAATGCACATTCATTTATTATTTTGGTTTGATTACAATTACTTAACTATGGTATCATATACCAGAAAAGTTTGATCACTGTATTTTCGTGTATGGAGTAGGTTTATACAGCATCGATTTCGTGATAACTTAGCCCTGGGACCGTTTTAAAGGTACCCACGTCAGGGATTTTGAAAGAATTTTTTGAAATATTCATAACAAATTACTGTAATATTTCTTTTATCTTCAAAACTCAATTCAAAATCAATATTGAATATTTTGTTTAAGAATTTATAGTAAAATATCCAGTTGGTAAAAATTTTTTAATTAAAAAATATTTGTATGGTAAAATATTCTATAGAACTATGAGGCTATTTTATTTAGTCTATGATTTTGTCATTGATAATAGGAAAGATTAGTAGATATTAGTAGACCACAGAAATAAGTAGGACCATTGCTGTACTGTATTACAAATAGAATGCTCTGCTCCCGAAAACTGTTTCAGGGGGTTAAAATAATTATCGGATTTAAAATACATAACTAGCTGTTCTGAATTAAACACAATTTTAACTGACCACTTGATTCTCGCACGTAAGACGGGCCAACAGCTTGTATATATATAACGTGACAGGGTATTTTTATTTCAAGATTCTGAATCAACCACTTAACGGATTTTCACGATTTGTGTGTTGAAAGAAAGATAATTTTCAGAACTAGGGAATGTCGAAGCCATATTTTTAGTTTAGGATTCAGTTTTTTAGTAATTAAGTTTTAATTTTTTTAAGTCTAGCAGCTGACGCTAACATTCTAGACGAAAGCTTTTGCTACAATACCATTTGCTTAACGTAACTGCTGTAAACATACAGCGTTTGTGACACAAATTCAGCATTTTGATAAAAATGAAATGACATACTAGGGTTGATTTATTTATACTAGGGAGGGGAAGTAATTAGTTGGCGGGGCTTCGCAGCCGTGGATGCAGCCATGGTGGAAGGAAAAAACATAGGTGTGCTATTCCCACATATTTTGGGATGCAACGATATTTATCAACCAAGGCAGATGCAGGATATGTGTCACTCAAAAATTCGGAGGTGGCGGGACAGATTTTGGTTCGGAGGTGGCGGGAAAGATTTGGGTTCGGAGGTGGAGGGAAAGATTTGGGTTCGGAGGTGGTGAGACAGATTTGGGTTCGGAGGTGGCGGGAAAGATTTGGGTTCGGAGGTGGAGGGAAAGATTTGGGTTCGGAGGTGACGGGACAGATTTTGGTTCGGAGGTGGCGGGAAAGATTTGGGTTCGGAGGTGGCGGGAAAGATTTGGGTTCGGAGGTGGAGGGAAAGATTTGGGTTCGGAGGTGGCGGGACAGATTTTGGTTCGGAGGTGGCGGGAAAGATTTGGGTTCGGAGGTGGAGGGAAAGATTTGGGTTCGGAGGTGACGGGACAGATTTGGGTTCGGAGGTGGTGAGACAGATTTGGGTTCGAAAGTGGCGGGACAGGGAGATAGCAGGAGCACACGCACCTCCCGGTAGTGGTATGCCTGGCAGATTGTGACATAATCTAGACTACTCCGACAACTTCTCCAACAACTACTCCGCAACTACTCCTACACGGTCCTACGCGGTATCATTGGAATTCTAACAATTAGGCACAAACTTCGGGGAAAAGAATTGGGTTTGAATTTAGCCACGCGGGGGTATGTAGTTGGTATTTCAGTTTTTCATAAGTTTTGAGGTCGTTATACAAAGTTCTAAAACGTAATGCGAACTCACAAATATCCTGAAAATGTTTCGACATTTTTAAGAAATGAAGATACAATGAGCAATATCCATAGCAAACAAAAACAGTATAAGTATAAATATTTGCCTTGACTCGAAAAATATAATTATAAATAAATATAATATAAATATAATCATATAAATAAATATAAATATAAATATAATCATAATACAATCATAATATAATCATAATATAAATATTGCACCTGTTGCTCGAATTCAAGCAATTGCAAAATATTAAAGGCATTTTTTTAACGAATAACAGTCACAAATTCCGTTGACTTAAAAGAGTCAACTCAAAGATAATGTATTCAATCACTCCACTCCAGTTATTGAAACTAAAAACGAGCTATTTTGCGTACTGTTTACAGGTTGAATACAATGTGTTGAGTTACAATGTGATTATTTCCATGCAGTGGTAAAAAAATCCCTTAAATACATTACCAAAGGTATTTTTAAATAAAAAATCCAATCTGAGTAAGTTTTGCGTAAAAGTCAGCGACTAAAGATATTTAGAGAAAGTAGTATAAGGTATTTAAAAGTTGGTATGAAAAGTAATAACACCTTAAGGTGTACCTTGAGCGCTCATCTTTGCAGCTAACCCATTATATCCACCCGTCAAAAGTTCTTTCATTAAACATTCCAGACTTCCAAAGTTGTCTTCAACTTTTAAACG